CCAGCTATTTTGGACCTGTGCGTTCGTCTCCATCACTCAGAAATTTTTAGTTTCGATGAAAAATAGGAGTACTTACTAAGTGATGGAGACGAACGCACAGGTCCAAAATAGCTGGATGTTTCATTGGATGGTGGATGTAAAGATAATTGTTGATGTTGCGACAAATTATGATGTTGAGATGAATGATGATGCTGAGATGAATGATGATGATGAGATGTATGTTGATATGACGATAATTGTGAATTTTGTGATGAATTTGGACGTGAAACAACACCTTGAGAAACATTACTTTTATATGTATGGACAGACATAATCTGAAAAATATTTCATTGTAAAAAGGTTTAAAACAATTCAACAACTTACTCTGAGTTAAATTATTTGACGACGATGGTGGAAAAGAACAAATATCTGAAATCTTATTTAAGAAAAAAAAATCAACCAAACAAGAATATCTCTACTTATTTTTTCAGTCATATTCAAGTTCATTATCAATTGATGTACAAACCATATATCGATCATCAATAAACGGAATAAAAAAAACATTTCGAACGAAGTGCTGTACAAGATAAAATTAAAAATTTTTCAACATCTTTAACAACAAGAGTATAAAAATTATCCACACGTTCAGACCACATAGATAAATGCTTATCTACTTGAATAGCAGACGAGAAATTATAAGATAAGCAACATGGATGATATGATAAAAACAAATATAGATCATTTCGATAAGAAAAGAAAAATACTATTTTCCCGTAACATGTTTGTTTTGGACAATAACAATTATTGACACATACATTGAAGCTCGATGACTTTTTTCGAAATGAATATGCGAGTGAATGATATGTGATTAGATCAATTTTATAACGAGCACGAAAAGCTACTAATTGATCAGGTGAACAACAAAACGTGCGCAAAAAGCATTCATCAAACTTTGATTTGTATTTCTTTATAGTAATTTCATCTATAAAACCATCTAAAAATTGTCCTTCATATATAACGTTTGGCTGATTTTCAATCGACATGGTATGGACAGCTCGATGGATGATGTACCAGTGAGCTATTTGTTCACCTAAGCTCCTGGTGCCATGTGATAATTTATACAATCCATGTAAGCAGGATTCGATACTAAACATACTGCAAAAAAAATTATGGTAAATTAATATATAGAAATTTTGAACTTGATTTAAATAAATTTTGTTTATACGTCTACGAAACTAGAATGTAAGAGGTTTTGTGTAAGAGAAATCTGTGGAAATAAATAGTAATCATTCGTAATTCAGCAGAACCCTAGATAAAGCTTCAAGACAATTCGCTATCACCAACAACGAACGAAAAGACTTTTCGCACTCTTATAAAATGCTTAATCTTAGCTGCTTTTACTATAGAGATGATTTTGATTTTTATGTCATAGATATCGAGCAAGAAGAATACTAAGCTAAGTGTAAAAATAGATGATTTCCTTGGGTAATGAGATGATACTAGCAATGTATTCCAGCAGAATAATAAAAGATTTTTGTTTCAAAATAATATAAACTAATCATACCTAGTTGCACTTAAAGAACCATGGCGAACCACTTGCTCCCAGAGATGATATTGACAATGTGTTGAAAGAAGTTCTTTTGATTCATAGAATTCCGAAAATCTCCTAAGATGATTTTCAATGAATGGGCGTACATCATATACATGTTGTCGATCATCGAATTTACATAATGTTCGAATATAAATCGAAAACAATGAAAAGTGGTACACTAGTAATGGAGGAAAATAACACGAAAAAAATAATAAAAATGGTAATGCCAAGTACAGCAAGAATAAACGCAATTGTGAAGCCTTCCAGTTGTTGAAACGACGAAAATCTTTCACTTTACGATGTAATGAATGTGGATAATTGATACTTGACAAAAATTCATCAAACTTATTAATTACTTGAAGTGTTTCTAAACTTGTACCACCATGTATATCGTTCCATGCTTTAATAAGAGCTCGTGTATGACCCTAAAACGAAAAAGTGTAAGATGAATGATTTAAATATATAAATAATTATATTGCGTCCTATGATCAACTTTCCTCTTTCAATTATCTTTTGATGGTCAGATTCTCCATTCTACTGAGTTTATCAATGTCAATTTCAATTACATATATTTGGCTTTATAATTTAGGAAGTAAATCTTGAAAATCTTGAAACTAAAGTTCTCCGATTGACGTACTTTTTCTTTGAAAACATTTTCTCTAACTCTAACGGCATAGGTACATTATGTACAAAAATTCTTCTCACAATTCAACTAAATGAGTGTGTCAACGTTATACAATAGATTCATATTTTTAGTATATGCTAAATATGCACAATCATTGTATGTGAATAAAACGTCTGTACGTTAAGGAGAATGTTCATACTCCTAGATGGATTTCTATGGAAACTATTATAATGGTATCGTCATTAACATCAGAAAATTATTATTGAACGCATCATTATCAGCTAAAAGTTAAAATATGAGATGCTTATATATTACAATTCTATAAACAATATTTATCTAGTACTGTATGCATGGTTAAATTCTTTATTACATCTGACAATTAAATTTCAATAAAACATACTGGCAACCTTTATGATATATTAAAATTATGTAAATATCACTTAAATACATCATGAGGTCGTACAATCTGTAATAACTAAGTGAATTTTAATACAGCTTGATATTAATTTAAAATAAAGAAATAAAATTAGTCATTTGTAATTAGCTATTTGTTTATTTTTTCTCTTTTACATTTTGAAGATCCGAGTTTGTTTTCATTAAGTATATCATTTTTCAAATAAAACTATTTAAAATTGGAGTAAACTTACTTCTAAACATAAGTGAAAATAGTCGTACAATGTTTGAGACGGCATGAAAATTAATTGATTGAGCGGAGATACATCTTTAATACCACGAACATTTATTTTTTTTCTTCCCATAGATTTTAAATGATCGACTTCTTGCAAACATTTTTCAAAGTTTTTTCTAGTTCTAAATCGTGGATTTGTATGTTCGAATATGTACCATGGATATGTACATGTATTATCAAGTTCATTGTACGTTCCTTCCATTTCACATACTCTACAGGCGTAATATGCACTATGTGACACCATAGATGTGACCTTAGATTGACCGGGTCCATCGGCACAAAGTCCTTGTATAAAAATATCAAAATGAACAACACCTAAATAAAGTTAATTGAATATAGAGTATGCTACTATAGTAGACAGAAATTTCTTGTCATTAGTCGCATTTACTAAATGATGAATTTCATCTGCCTGCTTTACATGTCATATTTCTAATATTCGACGATGGCAGACATTTGAACTCTAATAACTATATGTACAGAGAGACTATGTATAATCAGTAATATTACGAAAGACAATATTTGAAAATACTTTTAAAGAATTTTAGAAAACATTTTTTGTAGCCAAGTTCTTACCGATATTGTCAAATTCAATGTCAATGCCATGTGAAATAAGACGACAAAGTTCGACTGTTATTAAACCAAACAAATGATCTGCTGTAGGTCCCCGAGGAGAGTGCCATAGACATAACAAAATCAAGTTGTGTTGATTGTCTCGAAATGGTCGAGGTATCTCTACAATGCTTGCTAGTACCTGCAATAAAACAATATTGAAATAAATGGAATGTAACCAACAAGTAGTGGCATATTTACCGGCCAAATTGAAGTTTTACTTGATTTTATAGATGGCTTGCCATCGCTAGACAATAACAACGTTATAGGATTTGGACTTCTGCTAGATTGATTTTTGTAGATACTTCCTAAGACGACGTAATAATTCGAAAATACAAATTATAATTTTATTTAAATGTTTCTTTCTCAATTCCGTTAGGCACAAGAATGCTGAAGGCAAGTTATTCTATTACTTTGCTATGATCAGTGTAAACATTTGTGCTACGCTTATTCATTTCTCTAGTTAAAATGATTGTACAAAAAAAAATTAGGTAATGAAAATTCTTTTTTTTAAAGTCAAATAAAAAGGCTATTCTTTTCTTTTTCATTGCTAGTTTGAACTCTATAAACAGGGATACAGCATAGAAGTCTTTCGTAGGAAAAAAAAACAATATACTCTACCTTGAACAATATCATCTTTATTTTCATCTTGTTTTAATTTGTATTGTAAAATCAAAGCATAATTATTTTTTACCACCCGAGTGATTTCTTCAAGAATAGAAAAAATTATTAATTCTGAATAAATTGAATAGTTCACGTTATTGCAAGTACATTTAATCAATTCCAACAGGCAATTCGAACAATATTTAATTGTTGTATAGTTGAATTTAATTTTCAGTTGTTTCTATAATGAAGGTAATGATAATGGAGGTGGTGTTTCTCGATCAAATACATTATTTAATAAACGAAGTAATTGTTTACTCTTTAATTTATCAAGATTGGAGTTGCATATAAACGATGCGATTTCCAAATCTGGATCTTCTTGATGATCAATTGATTCAAATAGCAGATCATTTATATCACCAGTTTGATAATTTTTTAAATGAATATCAAGAGGAAAATCTTCAGTTTCATAATGGGCAGCAGCATTATTCATATCTATTTTAGAAAAGAACTTTTAGAAGAAGTAATAAACTTTGCTCACGTCATGAATTATTTTCTTACCATTATAATCATGTTAATACTTTTTTCAAAAAAATAACTTACCATAATCAAGATTATTATCATCAGTTTGATCATCATCTGGTGCAATAGTATCTATAGATTGAAATGAGTAAAGAAAAAAGTGAATTTTTTCCGAAAAATTCAACTCACCACTAACCAACATATTAACTGAATAATTAATAAAACCATGGTCTTCATTGTCTTTGTCGTCTAAAAAATGAATGTCTGTCTATAAAAGTGAAATGAATGAATATCAGAAAAAAATTACTCACCGTCCAATAGCGGAACAAATGAATCAGTTACATTAGGATCAGGTGGAGCAAACAAATCCGAAAGTCTAGCTCTCCTTTGAGCCTGACGGTGATTGTTACATATACGTTCTACAAGAAAAATAAAAAAAATTACGTTATAATCGACATGAATTTTTTTTCTTAAGTGTAGACATGAATATAAAAAAAAACAATAAAAATTCATTTCGTGAACATTTTCAAAGTGAACTTACTATGTTTCTTTTTCTTGAGAGTTTTCTTCATTCAAACTCTGTTTTGACATTTGTAACTTGAATGGCTTAAACAACTAATTTACCTAAAATATAAAGTTCATCATGATGCGGGAAAAAATTAAATTTAGACAATAAAAGTACAATTATTTAAAAACACGTTAAGAAGGGAATTAAAATAAAAAATTCGTACACTTACTTTTTTTTTATTGAATATACTTATTTTTCAATAAAATATCACATGGAATTTAAACAAAAACTTTAATCTTATAAAAAATTTGAATTTTCACTAATCATAGATTAATTATGAGCAGATTTGAATCTATACAACAAAATTAAATCTAAAAAGTAAAAGTTAATTTAATTTGAATAAAAAAATAATTTATAAATTAAAACGGTACATTTGTATTTTTACAGGAGAGCCGTTAAATTTTTTCTTTCCTGTTCTTCGTCCATATTTTACCCTATTTTTCATCCACAGAAAAAAGACACGCTACCAGCACTGTGTCGACACACGACGTACAAGAAATTCGTGTGACATCCATGTGACGTTACACGTACATTCATCGTGTCGTTGTGTCGACACATGTGTCGGTAGCGTGTCGTATTCACACGGGGCACTTCCATCGAAATACTATTGGTTGTGCAGTGACCAATAGAAATCAAGTTATAGAGAAACCGACTGTGTTAGGGTAAATCAAGGAAAAGAGTTCAAAATTGAGCTGTATTCAGTCGCAACTCCTATTGATTTGCCAACCCGCAATAAAAATCAACATTTTAAACGTTAGATTTCGCAGTATAGTTTTGATGTTGAGACATTCTAGGATGATTGATTTGTATGATTCACTTTTTGAAGTACACATAACTCTCGGATTCAAATCCGAAGTTTCCGCATTTATTCTTAGTGAAAAAAGTTCGAAAATTGTAAGATAAATATGAGACTATTGTTTATATAGATTGAGTTTGTCAACCAAA